TGCATGTTCTCATTAAATCTTTTATCTCATACTTTTTTTTTCAGTCTCTATTATCTCACTACTTACTACTACCCTAAAGCAGTCACCCTTAGGGTATTAATAAGTAAGTAAGTTAGTAACTAAGAGATTCTTTTCGTGATTTTCTTCGAGACGGTCCTTGGGCTGATGTCTTTTGATAAACGCGTCTCCTAAGTAACCTCCTGGATTCAAGCAGGAATGGAAGTTTTTATTTCTTCTTGTTGGTTCCAAGTCAAGTTTCATTCTATTCCATGGTTTTCACCTTCTTGTGCAGCTGCTATATCTAATTGTAATGATTTTTTTTTTTATCTTTTTTAAAAGAACAACTCTCTTGAGAACAAACGGCTAATTATTACTGCAAGAAACCGATGCAAAAAGGTTTCGTTTGATTTTAAGTTCTATTATTCTCAGTTCACTAAATCTCGTATCCAATCTCGTATCCAATCTCGTATGCAATCTCGTATCCAATCTCGTATCCAATCTCGTATCCAATCTCAGAAGTTAGGATCTAGAGACTTTATGAAAATCTTCAACAATGTCATTAACATGTGTGGATCTAACATTCCATCTCTCATTAATGGGAATGATCTCATTACCTCTCCAACATTAAGGCAGAACTATTTACAAAGAACCTTTTTTCTAATTTGACGCTTATGGCTATTCTCTTCCTTCCATTTCAATTAAACAGGTTAACCCAAAGTTAAAAATTCAAAATTCTGAGGCTATACTCTTGACATATTTAAAGCTTTCAAAAATGTTTGGCATGCTGGTCTTCTCCATAAGCATGCTTATGATATGGTGTGTCTGAAAAAGTTTTTGAAATTATCAAAATATTCACATTAGGCCAACACTCTTCTTTATCTCCAGTAACTTCTGAGGTACCTCGAGGTTCTTTCTATGGGCCTTTTTTGTTTCTTATCTACATTAATGATCTTCATAAATAACTTTACATCTAGAGTAGCTCTTTTTACTAATGACTCAACTTTATACTCCTAGACAAAAAGTCTTCTCTTTTTGATCGCTTAAAACAGGCAGCCGAACTTGAATCTGATCTCACTTCTGTAACATATTGGGGCTCGCAGTGGCTTGTAAATTTTAACTCTAACAAAACTCAGTTATTTACTGCAAACAACAATTGCAGTACTGACAACATTCCTAAATTAATAAATGCAACGCTTTCACTGAGTCCTCTTCTTTACGTCTTCTTGGATTATCTTTTACTACTGACGATTTAAGGAAACCATATATACAATCGATTGCTAAATTGACATCCGATAAAGTTGCTTCTATTTATCGTGCTTGCTATTTTCTTAAATACTGTTGTCATATTTAGGCTGGTTTTTCTAATGATGGTCTTTCTCTTCTAGACAAGGTCCAAAAACGCATTGTAAACGTAGTTGGACCCAATCTATCTGCTAAGTTTGAGCCACTTTCCCATCGTAGTAAATTTGCATCTCTTTCTCTTTTTAACAAATACTAACATGGTTGCTGCTCAAAGGAGCTATCATCTCTAGTTCCATTAACTAAAACTTAATCTCGTTTGACTCATTATTCAGTAAAGTCTCATTTTTTTACTGTATCTGCCCCTGTATACTCTAAAAACTTTTATTTTTAGAGTATACTGTATACTCTAAAAACTTTTATTGGAACTCTCTCTCATCTTCATATTTTCAAATACGACATTTCGTATCTTCTGTCAACCGTTTCCTTGCTTTATTTTTTTTTTCTTTAACTCTATTCTTTTTTTTAAATCGTGTAACTCCCAACTTAATATTGGTTGCTTGCAGCCTTGTTGGGAGTTAATCAGAATTAAAAAAAGAAAAAAAAAGATAAATGGTAGAATAAAATCTTTCTTTTTCAAATTCAATGGAACCTACTCAAGACAATCAACAACCCACCACTGCTGCTCCAAAACGTAGCCCTAGAAAAAAGTCACTGCTGCTGAGGACTAACGCATCTGCAATGCAGCCAGTGCCGGGGCTACTAAAAATCAGTTGCTGCATCCAAAGATGTTAGATTCGTACAGCACGTTGATATATTGACAAAGATAATATGAACGGAGGGAAACGCGGAGAGTACAAGATAAAGAAGCTTACTAAAGATCATTTTGATGTCATTTAAGATTGGATTGAAAAACATTGTCAAGTAACTTTAAACGAAAGCCCGAATATACAATGAGCTTCACGTCAACGTTGCAATTTCTACAATAGCACTTGATAGTTGTGCTTTCACTAATAAAGACTTTAATCACGAACCTTTTTAAAAACACAGGCTCCAAAAGAAGCTTGAAAGCATTACATTCAAACCATGCGTGAACTACTTGGTGATGACAAAGTTCCAATTTGGAACTTTACCATCACCAAGCACCAAGTTTTTTTCTGAGATTCTCTTTCAACAGAACTTCTCATTCTTACTCTTTTGATTCACCGTCATATTTAAGTGACGTCATATTTAAGTACTGACAAAAATATTTTCTCAATAGTATCAATAAAAACTTAGTTGAAAGCACATGACAATTATAAACTTGCAAGAAAAGATAACTTTCATTCTCATATACTAAATAAATTACTCTATGCTCTCTTCAATTTCCATCTCACTCTCAATCATTTTACTCAACTGTTTTTGCTCAGGTACCATTCAAAATAACTGGAAACTAGCTAGTAACTTTTTGTTGATAGATGTAATATCTATCAACAAAAAGGGTGAAAACCGCTGAAAATTACCGGCAAATTTCAATTACATCTGTTTTATAAAAAATGATGTAAATCATTTTTTATAAAACAGTTTTTTAGAAGTTCTTACATTCTTACAGCTTTTTTTCGACGCAATTTAATATGGCTTCACCACAGGTAAAGCCTTGTTTATCAAATTTTATAAAATTGTTTGGTCTTATGCGTTTGAATCGTATTTTAAAATTTGTTTAGTTTTGTTGGACTTTACCAAATCATTTGATAAAATTAGTCACTTGCTATATTTTCACAATATTTATGTGTGTGGTTTTGACGAGTACATCTGCAAGTGGATAAAATTTGTTGTTGGATAAAAGTTGTTCTTAGAGATTCAGAATAACATTAAATGAACGTCTTTAGTGTTGTTTCTCAGATTTCATGCATTGGACGACTGCTACTCTTTATTTTTATTAAGATGTCTTGAAATTTAAATACATATTTTTTAATAGACAGCAGATGATAAACATTTGCTTCCACTTAATTGACTTCACACACACTCTTAAAAAGTCAGACTCAGAATGTGACGTTGACGTGGTTGTTCACAATTGTTTCTGTTGAACAAGCAAGCAGTGAAAGCTATTACAAACTTGGATGCTGCTATTAGTATTTTTAAAGGCACATTCAAAGACTGGACGTTTGAAATGTTTTATCAAAATTTTTAAATAAATTGTAAATTATCAAATTTATTGATGTTTAATTCCATTATACTTTTATCTTGTTTATCTAGACTTTTCAATGTATCCTGTGATTCAATTTCAGAAACTGAATAAGCTTTTTTTGATGGTTCTTTTAATGATCACGAGATAATATTTTTTTAATCAATACATGGGAGTGGGATAGGAGTTATTGAACTTTTGTTTTGTAAAGAAAAAATATTAGTTATACATTTTTATTATCATATCAAATAATAGTTTACCTTATAAAAATAAATTTATAAGGTAAACTAAAAATAAATAAAAAATTGTATAACTAAAATTAAAAACGAAACAACATTTTACACTACGTATTAATTTTCCATGTAAATCACATTTAATACCTGTTTATAAAATATTAAGTTTGTAAAACAATTATAAAGGTAAAAAATTTATTTTGTAGACATTTTATTTCAAATTAAAGTAGAGTCAAAAAACCAATAAAATATCATATCAATAAAACTATCTATATTAATTAACTTTTTACATGTGTACAAAGACAGGATACCCCCATTTTTATGGGGTAAGAAACCCTGGAAGAATTTTTTCGTTTATACTCGATAAAAATTATATAAATAAATAAAGTCCTTATAAAAATATATTGAAGCTAATTGATTAAACAAAAAGATGTTTACCAGGTATACATGGTAAACATCTGCTTAGCACTTATAAGTGTAAAGCAAGTGAACAAGTTATTATGTAATATGTATGTGTTTATTTATATATATACTAATATATATTTGTGCATATATTTATATATATTTGTATATACATTTATATATAATACTGTCCGACTGGGGTAGTTTTTTACAAAAACATTTGGTTTGTTTCTTTTCAAATAAATTAACAGTAATAAGTTTTATTTATTTAACCCATGTCTATTTTTATTAATAAACTTTAATATTAAAAAAAAACAGTTGAAAATGTAAAAATTATCTGTTATTATAATTTGTTTAAGAGAGCCACCCAAATGTAACACTTTAATTCATTCAATTAAAAAAAAAAAGTTTAGTTCTAAATCTAAATGTAAAAAATATTAATATCATGAAACGTCGTTGAATCAAAAACAATAATTGCTACGATCATAAAATAATTCCATTGCGCAACATTTAAAAATCATTTTTACCGGTCATCTATAAAAACATTTTTGTTAATCGAAATTTGAAACTGTAAATTAAATCAACGGAATAACAAACAAATTCAGTTAGTCTGACACAAAGGGTTAAGCACATCGCTTGTTGACTCTACGCATTATAACAGTTACATGCATATAAAATATCCGTTTTATTATGCCAAGGTAAAGAAAACGATTGCAAATGATGATGACTTATCAGAATGATACGATATATCAAATTAAAAACTCATATCAAATCTTTATCAAATTAAAAACTCATAACCTAGTGAAAAAATTTTCATCGCCTCGAAAATATATATTTATATTTTTGGTTTACATTTAGAATCAACCAATCATAGAATTTGTTTTTGTTTTTTTAAATTGGGTTACTTTTTTTTTTTCTGTTTCTTTAATACCGGATGTGATCTTAGGGGGTATTATCATTTTTTCGCTTAAGATGTTTGTGTGTTAACATAGAAGTACAAATGCGTAAGTTTTACATATAACTTTACAGTGACGATTTCTAATATAGTTTTATGTTTTGGATTATTGAATGGAATAAAAAAACGCAACTGAATGCTATGAAGTTTTGCTTTGTAAATGCACTAGTTTTTCTAGTGTTTTTCAAAAAAGAAGTGGATTCAAGTCAGGTAAATGTTTAAGTACATTTAAGAAAAAAAAAAAAATAGGTTAGTAAAATTTATTAAAAAAAATTAAGAAAACAAGTTAACAAGTGGAAAACAAAAAAACACGAGAATTAATCCGATAACTTTAAAACAGGACAATAGCGATAACGATAAGTTAACGCGATTAATTGTTTTATTTCCATTTACTCTTTGTTTTACTTTGTCTTTTTTTAGGTTTGTTTTATCGTACTTTGATTTTGCCATATAATCCAGGTTGATTACTTAATGATGGAAACAAATCTCTGATAATCTTATATAATTTCTTTTAGGAATACAGAAGCATAAAGTTGCCCTTGGAAAATCGTAAGTTTCTTTATTGATAAAGGATTCTAATTTTAAACTTATTTTTTAAGTATTATATTGATTTTTTTTATAATAGATTATATATAGATTTGAATTCACATTTATTAAATATATTAAATTGTAAACTATTTTAATTCCATTTATTTCATTTCAATTTATTCATTTCCTTTATAACTAATCGGAATTGTTTTTTAATAAATTCTTTTAATAACAAAGAGTATGTATAAATATTTTTATAAATACTTACATAACTAATTATTATATAATAGCTTCAATACCTTTCTAACTCAATATAACATAATACTATGAATGATATCTATTATATCACTCAAGGTATTATATTATAGTGCATAGTATTAGTTTATTAAATGGTCTGTGGAAATGAAGCGTGCACTAAAACGTGCACCGAAAAGTTTACTTTAACTAAGTAATTCTAAAAACTTTACTTACTAATTAAAAAAACAAGTTAAGTAAGAAAAAAATGGATACGACAAAAGCAAGTACTTCGTTCTAATCTTCTTTACAAATCAGTTTCTGGTAAAGTTATGAAATTATTAGTTTAAGTTTTTTGTTGCACGCGAATAACGACTAATTAACTTTACTATGATGTCACAAACCAAGGCGACCAAACAGACACTATGACTTAAATTTTCAAAATAGATGTATCTGCCATAAAACTAACAATAGCTTGAGACTTCTGCATGGGTCAGCAGCGGGTAAAATATTATTAACTACCAAGTCTAATATTAGAAATATTACAAAGAAAAAGAATAAACCTAAATAGAAGTTCATCATAACAAATGATATTTAATTATTACATTTAATTAATATTTATAATGTCTTTTTAGAAAAAATAACTGTACAATATTTTTGTAAGAGGTAGAATAGACTACATAATTTACTTTCAGCGTTGGTGTCTTATGATGATATGCCATTTTTTATAGAACAAATCTAAAATCTGTTTTTAAATAAGGTCTTTTACAACAACAAGCACAATGATATAATAACAAAGGAAATAATTTAACAATAGAATAACACGGCGAACGATCTAGCAAATGCAATACAAAAAAAATGTATATTTAATTTTCATCTTTTAAAAATAAAAGGCATAAAAATAGCTAACATTGTCTATAAAAAGTTAACACCAACTGACTGCTAACCTGGCTAAAATAGATGGTAGGAAATATTTTAGATGAAAAGTTTTATCTAAAGATATTTTACTAAACAATTTATTTGTTTTTTAAACCAACAATGTTTTTTAAAAGCTTTTGTGTTTGTACTTTTTTTTTATAAGCTGTTTACATAAACACCACAGATAATTTAGAAATCAGCACCAAGGTTGTTTGAAGTATGCGAGAAGAACAATTTCTTATTTATTGTATTTCTTTCCATCATAGTAATAAAAAGTCTACACTATATCTTCAGTAAAATTAGATAAGCAAAAAACTTGTTCAGGTTTAAGAAGTCTAATTTTAACTGATCAAGATCCGGCAGCGTTTTCAGAACTGCTAGCTTAAGTTTTACAGTTCAAAACTTTTTTTCAGAACTGCTAGCTTAAGTTTTACAGTTCAAAACTTTTTTTCAGAACTGCTAGCTTAAGTTTTACAGTTCAAAACTTTTTTTCAGAACTGCTAGCTTAAGTTTTACAGTTCAAAACTTTTTTTCAGAACTGCTAGCTTAAGTTTTACAGTTCAAAACTTTTTTTCAGAACTGCTAGCTTAAGTTTTACAGTTCAAAACTTTTTTTCAGAACTGCTAGCTTAAGTTTTACAGTTCAAAACTTTTTTTCAGAACTGCTAGCTTAAGTTTTACAGTTCAAAACTTTTTTTCAGAACTGCTAGCTTAAGTTTTACAGTTAAAAACTTTTTTTCAGAACTGCTAGCTGAAGTTTTACAGTTGAAAACTTTTTTTCTCAATTCTTCTCTTTAAACAGCTGAGAATTTTTTTTTTCATTTAGCTTACTGTTTGTTTCAGCCGGCGCACGAGCGTTCTAAGGACTAGCGATTTTTTGTCCGCAAGACTTTCTTTGCTGGTCTCCAAGAAAAGTCTTTTTTAGGAGTTCATTAAATACTTTTCCAGACTTCTTAAAGACATCTTTTCTTGACATCCTAATGACGTCTCCATCACCAGGACATCTTTCTTGTCTGAAAGATAAATTTGAAATGATAATTAAAAAATGAAATGTCTTATTTTAGGGCTCTTCAAAACGTCCTTAAGACCCTTCCTATTAAAGTGTACAAAAATTATTAACCAAAAAGCAGATAAAAAATAAAATCATTTTAGACTAAAATAATAGCCTTATAATGTTAAAAAACTGACAGAGATAAACAAATCGGGAAATCTGGAATCAAAGAGAACACCTGTGCTAATGTTAAAAACAAGTCACATTTCTAGGAATGGTTTAACAATATCAAAGTCAATTCTTGAGCAATAAAAATCTTTCAGAAAAAAGTTTTATTAATTGTATTGACTTTTGCTAGTAAATAAAATGTATTCCATTAGAAAATTGAATTTTTTAAATTCTGTTATATGCGTTATACGCGTAAATTCTGTTATACGCGTTATATGCGTTGGCATTGAGGAAAAGCATCTCTAAATATTGCTATGAACGATAAAATACGATAAGTATTTTTTCTAAATATAAATTCACGGAAAATATTTATTATTTTGAGAATCCAATAGGTGAGAAAGGAGTTCTAAGGGATCTCAGATCTCTAGCAGACAAATTCAAAAAGTACAAGTATTGTAGCAAGTCTTGAATAAAACTAATCTTTTAGATAACTAATCTATACTAATCATTTTAGATAAACTGAATAAAGAATTTATCAACATAATTCCACGATCTGAATACTTAATGAATATCTTATAAAAATATTGATCTTCATTTTACTTATAAAAAAATGAAGAAAAAAATGAAAAAAAACATCTTCAGAAAAAACATGGCTGTAATGGTTAGAATTTTGATGAACCTAACAGTGCCAAATAAGGTATTTGGACAAAATTAATCATTCTTTAACTGAATATCAGCATTTTAATAAAACTATAAGTTAAAATTTTTTTTTAAATGTATTCAACCCTTTTTATACAGATTTCATTAGATCTAACAGTCCAAAGTCCAATATTTGAGACTCAAATTTTGTTGCAACCGGTTTTGAAAAGAGAATGGAAAAAGTTAATGACAAACATTTTTGACTTGATGCTATATTAAGTGAATTGCTCTTACAATTTTACAATTATATGTATTAATTTATATTAGAACGTTATTTTTCACAGTAAATAACTGTTTTTAAAATGTTTAACTATGTAGACAATTCAAATTAGAATAACAACTAACAACAACCAAAACGCCATTGTTTTGCAGTTCTTTCCTATTTTCGTGTATTCCTAACTTTACAATAACAGTTTACAGTTTTTTAAATCTTCTATCGACCATTTTTATGCTTAAACCTTTTTCTTTACTTTCTACGTCCCAATTTACATAATGTTAAAAAACAAACAAACAAAACAAAAAAACTACTACCGTGGTGAGATGCTTGCAAAACACCTAGGTCTATGTCAAAAGCATAAAAAAAAATTTCTAATCTTTTGAATGTTCTTAATCTTAAACTTGGGAATAGGCTTTTGTAATTTCGTAAAATTTTTCTAACATTATATCAAAGTCTTTTCTTTAAGTTTAACTAAATTTTTTTGGTTTTAAATAAAAAATGTTAAAATATATGGTCAATCAAAACAAAACAAAAAATTCCGCAAATGCTTATGATGATTTTACAAAAGTTTTTAAAGTCATTTTTTTGGGTCTTTAAAAATTTCACGCTTCTGATGAGTCTCAGGGAAGTTTGAAATCAGTAAAAAAGTTACAAGGTGCAAATACAAGCAACAACAAAAACTATAGAGAAGATGGTTTTGTGAGTTTATTTTTTTTTCTCGCGTTTAGAAGTGATAAATTTGGCAAAACTGCAGTATTATTTATTTATATTCAACTCTTTCGGTACCAATTAAAAAACGCAATTTTTAAAGACAGCCATCGTGTCCTTTAAAAAAAGAAAGAAAATTTTAACGAAGCTGGAATGGAAAACATGAATGGATTTACCCATATAAAAATGCCTGTATTTCGTCATTAAACAGAAAAATAATTGTACGAAGCATTTATTTTGAACGTATTTTCTAATTGGAAGAGAGCGTTACAAATTTTTACTTTTCATGAGCAATCTAAACTTCACAGCGCATTCGTTATTATAATTGCCTCATATATTGGGATTAATCGTTATCCAGTAACCTCATCGCCACCAAAAAAAAGAAATGATGGATAATCGTACGGCTTTGATTTAAATATTTACAATTCTATTTTGTAATTCCTCGATTTCTTTTAAGTAAAATTTTGTTTAACAATCAATCATTATATAAATTTGTTTACTGGATTTTAATTTACCAATTATTTCTTTTTAAAATAATGGGGAACGACAAGCTTTGCCATTCATTGGAAAGGGTAAAAGTAATATATTCCATTCTAACTGCATAGAGAATACTCTCTGAAATTGAAAAATTGGTTGCATTGAAAAGGAAAAGTGGCTTTTGCCTGAAATCGAAAACAAAATACTACGTGAACTTATTCTGTAATGCTTCTTAAGCTATGCAATAGTATAAAGGATTTATAATTCTACAGCTTAATGGCCAATAAAAAAGCTGATCTGTCTGCAAAAGAACAAATTTTGATCTGCATTCGGCGTGATAAAGAAGAATTTAAGCTTAAGGAGTTTTTTAAATGGGATTTTATCGAACTGAGAACATCAAAAGTGCAACTTTGTTTAATTGTTTGCTGTAAGTTTTGAGTCAATTTAGCCTTTTAATTTAGAGTTTTCAGGGCTAACGCTTTCGTGGGTTGTCTAACATGACTGGAAGTATACATGGATTGCAGATTTAATGAGGGAAAAAGAAAAGCGGACAATATACATGCACTGCCGCGCTCATAATTTCAACTTGTTAGCAAAAAATACGCGTGTC